CAGCTGAATCCTGAACTGCTGCAGGATCAGTGTCACTAACTTATTATCGGCTGTTCTGAAGTTTGAAGCAGCCTGATAATAACAAAAAATTTATTAATTTATCAAGCAGTAATAGAGAGATTAATTCACAATGACTGCTTGATATAATTAATTAAATAAAATAACATTTTTAAGTTTAAAAAAAAGTGTAAAAAAAAATAGTGAAAAGTGTAAAAAAAACAAAATAAGGGACAAATAAATGAATGTATGTATTGCATTTTTTTTTAGCTGTGCAGGTTTTGTAAAAAAAATACTACAAATCACAACTGGGAAAGTGTGTTTTTTTACGGTTTGTTTCCTCTTTTTTTTTTTAGTATTTTATTTGTCCTAAGTGAGGCGTTAGACACACATATGTAGCCCTATCTGTCCTCTAAAAAACAATATATAATATGTGTGGGTGCACTTTGTAAGAAAGTATATTATTGACGTGGAAGAATCACACAGCAAAAGTGTGTCAGTCATTTATGAACAGAAACTAAAAACAAGCTCAGTCATATAGGGGTTAAACAAGATTACTGTTAAAGTGAGCAAAAGAGAGAAAAGAAACCCTGGGAACTTCCATCTTTGTCCTGGTCGGCTGGTTTCGAGTCTTGGTCAGGCCCCAATGACGTAACTCCCCATCCGTGTGTATGGGAGTTACTTCATTTCGCGAGCTTGAGCCTGTGTACTGAGCTGCACATGCATGGATTAGTGTACAGAAAAATAAAAAAAATTGCTGAATCCTTTATGGTGGAAGATACTTGCAGTCTCTCTTGTCATAGCCTTCTGATTATTTGTTTGTTTTTTTCCGCGTTAATGTTTGATATAACCTTGTACTTCTTACTTTGGTCAGTTGTAAACTTAAATATCTTCTTACTGAATTAAATGTAGGAAAACATCCATTGAACAACTGAGGCAGGAACGCTTGAAAAGGGAAGTTGCAGAACGGACACGTGCTGAAACTTTGATGTCCGTTAGAAAAAATTCTTCAAATCCAAAGACGGAAATGGATGAGCAGGAAATGGATGACAGAAGGAGACTGTACAACTCACAGTTCAACCCACAGATTGCCCGAAAACCCAGACTACGTGAAGAGCTCTGGAGACGTGGATTAAATTAAATTGTTTTTTAAAAAGCTATTATTTGTAATGTGCAAGTAACTCTCATGTATATCCTTATGTCCATACCAGACTAAAACACTCTACGTGCTTAAAGCTTGTTAAATCTCTTTAAAGTGTATTTCCACTTTTGCAATCAAATTTGTTGTATATACAGCATATTGAAAAATAATTTAAAAAATATATATTTATTACTTTTTGATGTTTTGTGCAACATGGCTGATTCCTGGTTTTTCTCAGCACCTTTTAACATTGATCTATCCTTATAGAAAGACTTAGGATTGAAATTTGAGGATTGTGTTTCTCTCATTAACTTAACATACAATGGGCAAGACACCCAAACCCGTCACATTTCAAAAACAGAAG